CCTCTCATGTTCACTATGTATGGACCCCTCGAAACGTAACATATTATCCATTACACTACCGATTCTTGTGCTCCATTTAGCAACTGGAGCATTTGTTTGCAACTGTATTTGTGCCATTTAATACCATTTTGTAGTGCCTATTTTTGCTGCTGCAAGCAGGACACGGCTTTTAATCCTCGCGTTATTTTATCCGATATCCGTGCTAATTGGCATGTGCTACCTTATTCAAATTACTACTGAATACCCTGCATTTCATAGAAAAAAAAGTGCGAAAATAGTTTTGACTTTGACTTCAGTTATTCTGAAAATAAGTGTCACGAAATTAAGATCAATAACAACTCAAAGGCAGTAGGAAATTTACCGCCATTTTATTCTTTTTTACTTAGGTGGACAAAAGTGAGGAAAATGATGGTGGGCTTTGCAGAGGCAGTGTAAAACATGTGATACAAATTACGGTCATTTAAACCTTATGATGGGAGGGCTCGGCACGGCTGTAGCCGGCATGTTAACATCAGCGAGGTCAAATGCCCGTATCACTTGTTAACCCCAGCGTGGCCGAAGCCCACATCACTTGCCTGGCGATTTTGTTAATCCCAGTGATAAGCTCAAAATTTGGGAGATTTAGAAAAGAATTTTTTTTTGAAACCTTGAGACAGTATCTTTGACGGCTGTCACGTACATCTTCAACCCTGAATACGGTGCTGTAACGACCGACAGCAAGAGTCTCGAACAGAAAGCGCCCCTCGACTATCGTTCCCGGTGGTACATGCACTGCCAGCGGATTTGTTTTGTTCATTTTAATACTGTAAGTAAGAAATAAAATCCGTTCTAAATGTTGCATGAAATTAAGAAATTCATGGCTACTGCTAGATATTTTTTAAAATCTTTCTTTGTTAGTACTGGAGACGTATAACAGAATTTTTCTTGAATGTTTTCCCAAATAAAAAAGTTTACTCAGCCCGAAATTCTCTGAGTTTTCCAGAAATGACTGGCAGCAATAGCGGCAATGAAAAAGTAAATGGTAGTCGACAGACCAGAAACACTTTTAAATTCTAGTCCAAAACATGT